AAAATAAAGATTCAATTTTTTTCCCATACACGCTCATGGACTGACTGCCTAAATTCTATCCATGGACCTCTTGAAGGTCAGTAGGTTAAGAATTCCTATTCTGGGAAGGGTGGTGAGAGCAGTCCCTGGTGGGGAAGAGTACTGTATCACTGACATAGTTTAGAATTACCAACAGACAGGATAAAAAGCAGATTAACTTGTGGTTAATTTTATTATTGTCTCCAAATTCTCTATAAATCATGTACCGCTTTACTGTCTGTATCCAAGTTGGACCATTCCACTATCCCCCAACTCCAGTCTTTTGATATGCCACTATCTCTAGAAAAATAAGATCTATTACTTAACAATTAGACTGATCAATAAGATGTTGCTGATATATAATCACAACTTCTCCTATTAAACTGATCAAAAGACTGTATCAATTACAATTATACTTCCTAATTAGGGAACCTACAATTCACCTGATTATAGCAAAGACTGTACTTCTGTTAGAGATGTCTTCTTCTCCTTGTACACTTTACAGCCCATGAACAACCCTCAGCTGCATATAAAATAATCTTCTAGGAATCTGTTTAAAGTTGCATATACTGCTGAGTCTCCCTGCTCACTTAATTTATAAGGTAGCAAGACTTGGATTAACAAAATTTCTAGACTTTTACAATTAGGACTGCTTTAGACTGGATTGGAGAAATTGAGAACTTCTCACTAATGCTGCCATTACTGTCTTCTGCAAGAGCAAAATACCTACACAATCATGAAGCTCTCGCAAACCACACAAGCCATCTCCAAATTCCTTCTCAACACAACATTCCAAATACCACTCCCAAGTGCTAGAATATGACATAGAAAGAGAAACTTAATTTTTAGTTTCAAATTTATGTCATCTAATGCCTCTTTCTAGCTCTTAATTTGTTTTATTTCAAATATTCATAGTTTCTTTTATATAAATGACATTTCTACTTCTAGCTAATCCTTGAAACAAATTTAGATTTTATTTATATAAGGTTCTCAAGCACTTTTCAAGTTGCCATTAAAACACCCATGAAGAGATGTGGAAACATTTTTCCTTGGCTCATCTTGAATCTGTTTTTCTTAAAGTGTAGCTACCTTCTATCCCAAACTTTTTACTAATTAGCAGGCAACTGAGTAACCATTTCAATCTGGGACAATACTTTTACTTCCTCATTATCATCTCAGTCCACTAGAGAAAACATCTTTAAAAATTTAGCTGTACTTTCCTAAATAACTCCTCACCAACTCAATTATTTTGAAAAAGGAAGGGTGTTTTCAGTGTGACTGTTCATATATGAATTTTGTTTTTTTACCCTAGAGTAGCAAAAAAGTATAGTCTGAGATATTATGGTCTAAAGAAAAGGTGCAAAAAGAGAACATTGCCAACGTAGTTTTATAGATTAGTACAGAGGATGGCAAACTACACCCATGAGCCAAATGCAGCCTACTACCTGCTTTTGTAAATAAAGCTTTACTGGAACACAGTCACACGCATTTGTTTACACATTACCTATGACTATTTTCAGGTTTCAATGGTGAAGTTGAGCAGTGGCAACAGAGACAGAATGACTCACAGCCTAAAATATTTACTATGTGGCCATTTATAGAAAAAGTTTGCTGACTCCTAGTTTAATACAAATGAAAAGATCCATTTTAAACCTAAAATATCAATAGTACTCTTGATTATCTACAAAAAATTGACACTATCAATGGACATTCATGCATGGGACAATGTAAGGAGCAATAGTTTGAAAATAGTAAGAAAAACGGTGCGTAATCTTTTCTGCAAAAAAAAAAAAAAAAAGATAATGAGCTAATGTCAGGGTAAGTAGTACACAACACTCCAAAGGAGCTTATGGAATAAAGGAAAGAGGTCTTCTACTTGAGGTCTCTATCACTGTAGACTAATGTAAATTCTCAACAGCCAAGGTTAATTAGACCACAGTTGATTTGTTTTTCAATGTATATTTAGTAACGTCGACATGCCTGTTTTTATCTGTAATCTGCTCTTGCATCATCCTGAGCTTTGCAGGGGGAATGTATGCTCCACCAGTGCGAGTAAGGAGAGGATCCAGCTCATCTTTCTTCTTCTTTGCAGTAGGTTCATCCTGAGCAGAGGAACTCTGGGTTACTGATGGTTCTGGGCTTCTTCTCCCAGGAGATGGAGATTTCCGGGACCTTTTCCGATCCACATCTCTTTCTCTTTCTCTGCGTTTTTCTCGGTCCCTACTTCTGTAATATTAATTTTTTTTAAAGGAGAAAAGACAATATAAAATCCATTCTTACAATGAACTACACACCAAATGAGTGAGACCATAAGTGGGCCCCACAAATTCAGACTAGGAAACGAGGTTTAGAATGGTAACGAAGTGCTTCAAAGAGAAAATGTAACTTAGATTAGGTCTTAAAGGCTTGATAGGATTTCAAGTGTGGGGAAGGGTGGAGAAAGGAAGGGTAGCATTCTGCAACTAACAGAAAAGGCAATTAACTACTGAAAAACTAAGCAGGGGTGCTAAGACCAGAAGGAGCAGAACACTCAGGAGACAAAGAATCATGCATGATGGTATTTGGAAAGATGAGTTTGAGTCAGACTGTGAAATTTTAAAAGAGAAGCAACAGACTTTAAGGTTTTTATACTAGAGCGGATAGGGAATCATAAACGTTTCTGAGTGGGAGAATGACATGAAAATAGTGTTTTAAGAAGACAAGTTGGCCTGTGGTATATATGATAAATTGTATAAAGGAGAAATCAAAGTTTATCTCCAACAGTGACAATTTTTGGTATAAAACTATAACAAAAAATATAATATTTGAAACTGTTTCTTGATAGACCTGATATTTTCATTAGAAATCTCAGAATATCAGAAACCCCCTGGTTATTTGCAACAATGTGAAAAAAAATTTTTTTCCAGCCACAATAACTATTCCCTGTTAACACAGGTGATTATCCTTTCTTAAGCTAATACTTTTTAGAACAATCAGGGCATTATTCTTTGAAACCACCAGGAACTAAAAGGAAAGAATGAGTCCTTGCTTTTTGCTGTCTTTCCCCAAAGAAAAGTTTGTCCACTTAGCTGTTTTTCACATACATTGCCTTGGAAACTCAGATCATTCCGTTCATGCTTTGTGAAACCATGAGTTATACGAATACAGTAAACAAGAGTTTCACATCGTCACTGCATCACTAGGAAACTGTGAGACAGATTTTAGCTAAACCTAAAGGGCATGTTTGAGATGGTCTGTTTTCATAATAATACAACCTACATGAAGGGAGAAAAGCAGTCACCTTCCCAGACAGCTATGGAGGAACAGTTCTGAAACTAAGGTACAAGAGACTCAAGTGACTGCCAGTGAGGACAGACAGTCTGTATACACTAACACAGAGTGAACAGAGGGGGAAAAAATGGTTTCACATATAAACCCCAAGCAGTCACAAAGGCAGGTACTCTAAATTCTCTGCGCTGATTTGCAATTGAGTTGCTTCTTATTGTAAATGTAGCATGTTCCAAGAGGATAGCTACAGCAGGGATTTACTGACATTGGTTATGATTCTTCTGAGAAATAGCAAGTAAGACAGCTAGCTGGCTGATAAAATCATATCCTTACAATTATTGTTTGTGTTCAAGTGCAGAAGTTATAAAATATTCTTAGAGTCTGAATAGAAACATTTTTGGACTGTTAGCCTTTATATTTTACATAATACCTAGCCTGCTTACTACACAGTATGACTTTGTGGATCACATAAGACTTATGTTCATATACTAGACCAAACAAGTTATGCTAAAGTAGTACAGTCAGGGATTGTGGAAAACATGGGCTTCGTACTCAGAACTGAGTTCAAATCCCAGCTTTAACATCTACAGTTAAAATTCACAATACTAACCGTGACTCCATGCTACCATCATGAGAATGTCCTCTTCTTGAATGCTCATAGTCTGACCTGCTATAGTCAAAATAATCTCTATCCCGTGGAGATCTCTCTTGTTCTGCATATCTAACATATAAAATAAGAAAACCAAAGTTTTACTTTGAAACAGCTATGGTATAAATACTTAGGAAAGTCATATATTGGTAATGCTATAGCTATTCTATGACTGAACAACATCTTGTTTTTAACAAGCATCTCATCTTGCTAGCACTCATTTATTCAGTCAGGGTTACAAAAGCTTTCAGCTTGTATATAGCAAAACTACTCCTAGAATTCACAAAACTTGTTCATGCTGGTTCACACTGTCCTTAATAGGAGACATCTGGATATCACATATAGGGGGCAGGAAAAAGGCTATCCTGTAAGTGACTCCTTTTTCTTAGCTCATTTATCAAAACACTGAACTAATGAGAGACCAATGTCATCAGTTGGCCTTAAGGACCAGTTTAACTCCACTCCAAAAAACTATATTCATCAGCTTTTATTCTTGAAAATGCATTATTGGATAGCGGTGAGAATAGACTGGAATTACTAGCAAACAAGGATGGACAACACCAGATCTGTTATTTGAATCCTAAAATCAGAGAGCCCTAAGAAAAGTTAAATAAATATACATAGTGACGTAATCCATATTTTATATATACATCTACAATTAAGTTATAGACACACACATATACCTGTGTATGTGTCTGTGTGTGTAGAGAAAAAGATACATATATTTAATGCAGGGAGTAGATAATTGGTGAAAGACAGTAAGTAGGTAGTAAGTAGTCACAAACCAAGGCAATTAACTTGAAATCCATAAAACAAAGGTTTTTAGAGATATTTAACAGGGTGGAATAAGAAGAAAGTAAACAGAGAATGAGGAGGAGATCAGATAACTGAAAGAAAGTTTATAGGATGCTTTCCCCTTCATAAACTATTTTTAATAGTTATAAAAAATTATTTTTATAGTCATTATTTTTAATAGACCATGTTTTTAACGGTCCTTTAATGGTTCACAGTGAAATAACTGTAGTCCTAACATAAATGCATGACACACATTAATGGTAACATTTTTGGATCGTTGATCTTAACATAATTATAAGATGATATAATCTATACAAAAATATTTTGAAAACTATAAAGAGCTATGTAAATTTAATCGATAGCAATAACAACAAAAGAAGTACTTCAAAACAATGTAATTTCAACTCCATTTTCTATTTTATGAACTTTCATTCTATTTGTATTCTAGATATTAAAATTATTCCCTTTCACCTAAAAATTACGTAAAATCTAGAATTGTTTTATGAGAAATTCCTAAAATAGTCATTCAATAATGATTCCTCCTATAGCCCACTCAAATAATACTGGTTATAAAACCATTAAAAAGAAGTTGCCCACCCTAAATTAGAAACGAAGAGCTAAATTATTATATAAACTTACTATAAAAAATCTAAATTGCATTCAGAACATATCAAATTGTTTACCTGTCTTCTGGAGAGGAGGTCCTCTGATATGAATTATAGTTTTCCCTTCTGTCATGACCAGAAGAATGCTTTAAAGGGAAAAAAGGGGGAGGGAACATTTTGAAAATTATTTATATTAAAAACAATAGACAATGAACATATGTATCAGAAAATTGAAGTATTATTACTTTAGAAATTACATCAAAATGTCTTTTAATCATTGGAATAATTCATGTTGCCTAAACAGTATAAAACAAAACAGAATTTTCAGGCCAACCTACATGGGCCTGTCTGTGGCAGATACCTGTTTTTGCTATGGATTTATGCTTGAATTTTTAGCCACAAAAATTCAAGGTAGAAGAAAATAATTCTCAAATTTTTGATGATACTTAGTTCATTATTTTATTTCTATGTAAAAAGTTACAAATTTATAGAACAGTATTTTTGTAATGGCCTCCTCCAGATGAAAAATAAGACCAAGGCCAGAGGTTTTCTAGCAAGAGGTCACTTTTATGCACTTTAATGCTCAAGTCTTATAATACTGCACTTACCCCGTATCTCCTTCGGCTAACGAAAACCACAACTTTAGTACAGGTTACTAAACTGGATGAAACAAATAGCTACAAGAAACAGACTCTAACATATTTACGAAAATTCATTTTTATTTTCAACAAACGTTATCTGAGTGTCTGATATGTATGATACTACGTTAGGCTCTAGGAAATTGAAGAACATGACTTTTAAGATACAAGTACGCCAAATCCTTTGAAAAACAACCCACATACAAATAAGTAACTTGATGTAGCATGAGACTGATGAGACATGTAACATGACACAGAGATGTGAACCATCCAGTTTGAGAACACATCTTAATTTAAAAATCCAAATACATTAAAGATACCAAAATACTTATCTCTGTATACAGGTGAAATTTTTTATATAACTGGTCAACATTAATACTGACAAGCTTTTAAGAATTAAAATAATTTTAATTAATCTTACTGGAAAGAAAAACCAGTGTTTGTTAAAGTACCTTAATTTGGAAATATAAGAAAAAATCAATCAAACAACGAGTAACTTGTTCTGCAAACTTACATGCTTGCTTCCTTAATGAGAAAAAAACGCATTTTAAAATAGAGAACTATTCTGAGTAGAAATGTAAATAAGATCTAACTTCCTCTGATTTTATGACTATCTAATTAATAGCAGTTTGAGTCTAACATTATCACAAGTAAATTGCCAAACAGTCTCATTAACTTTTGAAATTTTTCGAATAGTATGCACTAACTAATCTATGTAGATTAATAGCATGTAATCAAAACTTATAATTTAAAGTAGCCACAGTTTGGCTGTTATTTTACATTAAATCCAACCATCTTAAAACCCTGTTTTTTCCCAGTCCCACCACTTAAGACATGAAATGTGGTAAAATATAAAAGGGCACACAAGAAAAGTTCAGTTTCCATCTCCCAATCAGCAGTCCTCTGCAGGAACAATCATTGTTTAGACTCTTCTGTATGCATCTTTTTAGAAGTATGCCAGGCATATGCAAAATTTCTTTCTCTTTTTGTACATGAACAGAATCGCATCCCATACATAGGGGCTGTATCTAATTTATCCAACTTATATATATTTATATGTATCTTATCATTCCACACCAGCACATATAGATCATTCTGTTCTAATTAACCAATCCCCTACTGTTGGACATCTAGGCTGTTTTTAGTCTTTAATATCTTTACTTGTAAAAGCTATTTGAAAGTCTAGGTTGATTTGCTCTTAAGCAAATAAATATGTCTATAATATATTACAGAAATGGAATTGTGTATTAAAGAATGTGTATTTTTTATAAGTGATAGCTATTGCCAAATTACCCTTAAGCAAATGTCCTGCCAATAGTGTATGAGTATGCATGTTGCCTTCCAATCTTTGTGTTACACATATTTTGATCAAAACTACACTCAGAAAAAAATATTACTTGTAGAAAAAAATCAGTTAGGGAGATTCCAGGGAGACAGTAGATTAAAAAATCACTTATCAATATAGTCTACCTTTCAGATATAGGCATTTAAAGATTTAGGAGACAAAAATCAGTAGGTTTTTTTTTTTTTTGAGGCAGAGTCTCACTAGAGTACGGTGACATCATCATAGCTCACAGCAACCTCAAACTCCCGGGCTCAAGCGATCCTCCTGCCTCAGCCTTCCAAGTAGCTGAGACTACAGGCACGCGCCACCACGCCTGGCTAATTTTTCTAAAAATATCAGCATTCTTACTATCATGACTTATAAAATCGTATTAATAAAAAATACAAATACTAAATCATTAAAGATAATGATAAAATGTGACTAGATATTTTCAAGTTCCATTTCCCACATTTAGTTTTTTTTAACCCATTTGGTGACTGTTTTTTTGGGTATGTGTATATGTATGGTAGAAGATAAATAATCTTTCTCCAAAAACAGAATAATCATTATTGACTAGTCTACCCTTCCCCCATTGATTTGACTCTCTGTGTCACATACTAAGGACTCACTGAATATGTTTCTGGGCTTTATTCTGCTCAATTTGTCTATCTCTGACTGTTTGCTTTATAAATATTTCTTCTGTAAATGGCAACATGTATTAATTTTTTTAAAATATATTAATAAGTTTCAAATAAAGATAAATCTCCTTTAGTTAAAAAATCCTGTTTTTAACATATATAAGAAAGTTTTAAAAATTATTTCACTTAGCAATACAATGAAGTAGAATTGTTAAATATGCATGATACAGGTTTCCATAAAGCTTCACATCAATATCCTAAGCCATATAGAGCACAAGATTCACTAACCTCAATGGTTAACATAAAACATAGTATTTATACTGATCATTTATTATATGACATAGTCCTTCCTGTGTAGACATTCTAAAGCATACAAAAGATATGAAAGACCCTCAAGAAGCTTATGATCTTGTGAGAGAGAGATGGTTATCAAGAGTTCCACAGTTAAACATATCAGAGTGTATGCTCTGGAGGTGGAGGATGTTGTGGGGAAAGGAAGAGAAGAGGAAGAGGGCCAGGGAAAGGAGAGGGGGAAAAGAGAGGAGAGGAGACAGAGAACACTAAAACTGGACTACTACTTTTTCTTTTACAAGGCAAGGCAATTATTTTGATTACATTAGGGAGAAAACCTCAATTCTGTGCTAATGATTTTTAACACATCTCCGCAACATCTGTTGTGAGCAAGAGGGAGAAACCAAAAATGTTGAAGTCGTGAATCAGAAGGATTTCGTAAATATAATCAAGTAACAAATGACTGGCACACATATTAAGTGCTAACAGGACATCTTGAGTAGGGAACAATCATTGTGGCACAGAGTACTGAGGGATGACAGTGAAGGGGGACTTGAATTCGGCTTTGATGGATGAATACGTTAAAAGTCATTTTGGGGTATGGTCCAAGTATTAAGAAGCTAGATTTCCCTATTTCCCTTATCATAGAGTTTAGATTATAAGTCAGTACAATAGTTCAAAATAATATATAGTAAAAATTACATTTAAAAATGTTCTAAATTATTCATTAAGCAAAACAAATATGGAGATACTGTGCAGTCACTCATAATCTCTAACAACATAGAGAGCAGTATTAGGAGACAAGAGGAACAGGGAGCCTGAGTCCGGTAGCTTTGAGGATCCACTAGACTCAGAGAGGAAGTCTTCAAGAGGAAAGGAGAGGAGGGCTAGAAGAGGTAGGGAGCTTGCTTCTAGCTAGCTAAAGAAGCTGCAGTAAGGTTCAAGGGAAAAACGAGATCCTCTGCTGAAGCCTTATGAATCTAACCGATGAGCCCTCAGAACATTAAGCGAAGATCTGAGCTTCCCCTCAGGTAAGAATGGGCCCCAACCCAGCTAGTGGACATGCTATAGCTAACAGAAAGGAGACGTAGAGGCAAGCTAAACAGAACTGGCCAGGAGGGCCAAGCAACTAAGTGTGAAGGGCATGTTGACGAAAGTCACCCACTAAAGATCCCACAGAGGACCCATCAGGCCACAATAGGGAAGCCTAGAGAAACAGAAGAGGATTCTGAGAAAGATTAAACATTTCTTTCAGTGTAAAAGGCATCAGTCTAAAGACCTGAGTGCTCTTGTCTAACTTGGCTCAGTCAAGATCCAATTCTGCACAAGAACTCCTTTCTCTTTTTGTCCCCAGCTCTTAACACAGTCTGCACCTAAAGGGCCCTAAATAAAGTAACTGTTTAAGTAACAACAGACCAATGAGTACAAATCCGAAAGAGGCAGATTTCAGGACAAAACAGAAGGGTATCTACTGCCATATGGAGCTAGCTTAGGAGACAGTGAGCCCCTTAGTAATGGAGGTGCACAAGCAGAGGCTGGGGATCTACCTAGCAGGAGCCTGGAGAGTGTCTCACACTTGACAGAGGTTGGAGAAGATGTCAACAGAGGCTGCCTTTGTCTACAAGTCTATCAGTTCTGTTTAACAGCACTTACCACACACCAGGCCTTTTACCTAACGCCTGCTGCCAAGGAGCTCGTAGTCTACGGTTCTCTCTAAAGAAGGAAGTTTAGGGGTTCAGCGCTGGGGGAGAGGAATGGAGGAGTGCCTACATGTATAATCAAATAAAAATACACCTCCCCCTTTATTGACTTCAAGGCCCAGGAAGTGATGTGCTGTATTGTAAGTCCATGCAGTTGAAAAGAAAAGGCCCCCCGTAATATGCTGAAATAAAAAAAAAAAAAAAAAAGAAAAGGAAGCTGAATGGTTTGTTTTCCTTCTAAGCCTAATCACAGGCAAAACAGCTCTGAAAGCAGATGGAATTACTGGTCCCTGTTACTGCTCTGACCTCACATCCTACAACTTTCCCCTTCTCATAACCTATGCCATCCACTCTAGACACTCTGCCTTTATACTTGCTTTTCCTTTTGCCTGGCACACTCCTCCCCCAGACATCTGCATGGTTAACTCTCTCGTCTCCTTCAAGTCTCTGCTCAAATGGTTACCTTTTCAATGGGCCCCACACGCTCTCTCAGTGCTACTGTCCTCCTTATCCCATCCTATTTCTTTTCTTCATAGAACAAAGCACTCTATATAA